AGAGCTTTGGAGATTACTGGATATTGCCAACTCAGCCCTGGCCTTGCCACTGTGCTTCTACCTAGGCAGTTTTCTAACCCTTAACTCTTGTGTGTTAGCTGTCAATGCTGGTACCTCCTGTTCTTCCATCTCCTTACCCTCTTTTATGTAGTTCTCTGTGGGTACTGTCTGTTAGGCTGCCAGTTTACTCAACCCTTGTCATCTCCTCTTTACTGCCTCTCCTCAGCAGTCCCTACTCAATGGGCTAACCTTTGGTAGCTGCAGACAGCATTCTCCCAGGGTGTAAAAGGGATCCTTGTCTTGGCCAAGAGCTTTCCTCAGTTTCTTGTCCTCTGGTATATGTTGCTGTTGATGACTACATTGTTGATGAACTCTTTCTTCTTTGTGTTTGAGGTATTCTGGCCCTTCCACGTTTCTGGTGGCTCCTCTGCTACTCCACATCTTTGTCCTGAGCTCTTTACTATTTGCAGTGCTCTTGGCCATACCCCATCCCAAGAGTTCAAAATTGACTTCCTATGAAAAATTTGCTAAAAATTTACATTGTGAATTTAATGTGATCCTGTTTGTGTTTTATGAATGTTAAGGCTTACTCTAAAATTTACATGAAATGAGAATTATGTGGAAGAGCCATATATTGTGTGACTGTAACAGTGAGGACCAAGCAGTGGTTCAGGAAACTAGATTATGAAGCATAATGTGGAACAGAAACAGTGCCATATCACCAGGCCAGTTTATGTTCACAAAGCACAAGCCATCAGTAAGGAAGCATAACCTGACAAGATTGTCTAGAAATGTCTGGGCTTCTATAATTCTGCTGTGTTCTCTGAGTTTCTCTTCCTAGACTTTATGCTTGTGGCCCATCCCTCTGTGCTCTTACTGGGTGGGCTTGTAGAGGAACTTTTGTTAACTGTGTCCCATGGCAAGTGCTGTACTTTGATTTCAGGGGGGTTGGGTCGTCTTGCTGTGATCTTTTTGGTAAAAGTATTACTCTGGTACATCCTCATGCTTTGAGGGTGAGACCTTTGGTTATCCATAAACACTGAGTATTTAAGTTAGGGGTGTAGCTCAGTGGTACAGTACTTGCTTAGCATGTGCAAGGCTTTAGGTCTAATTCACAGAATAACCAATCAACAAATAGTGTCTATTTATACACAAAGAATCACATTTTAGTGTGTGTGGATATACATATGTATGCTAGTATGCACTTATGTGAGGAAGTGAGATGAGGGTGTTGGGTCTTCTGTTCCATTGAGGCAGTGTCTCCCTGAACCTGGAGCTCTTATTTTTCTGCTAGACTAGCAGCTAGCAGGTTCTAGCAATCCAGCTGTCTCCATCACCTGCAGCTGGAGCTGAGGCATGCATGGAACCGTAGCCGTCTTGTTGCGTGGGCTCTAGACTCCAAACTGACTTGTGTTGCAGAGCTAGCTCCTGATTGCTGACCCGTCTCCAGCCCTCATTTATGTGCTCTTTAGCGCAGATAGCTAACTGATGTCCACTAGCTCGTTCTCTTACCTAATTTGCACGGTAGGTTCCATATAGATCCTCTTTAACCAAGCTCATGCCTGACATCCATTCTCTGACCTTTTCTTGGAAATACAAGTGGATGCTTCCTATTTTTCATTCCTGCAGACAAATGCTAGTGCCAGGAATATATTTTCTAGGAGCCAAATAAAGTAGTGGAAGAGGCAGGGATCATAGCAACTTGCCTTCTGACCACTCATTTCTCAGTAAGGGAGGAACAAGAATTGTTGGGAGAGAGAAGGGATGTTTTGTAGCCATAGTGGGGCAAATGATAGTTACAGATTCCTGTGTGCATAGGTGTAATAGATGGGGAGTCAGGAACTGGTCTTGGAGTAGCGTGAGCCCTGGAGAATAACATTAGTAATGTGTTAAGCCTGTGAGCCAGCACAGGGAGAGGGCAGTGGGACAGCACGGGTTTGGGAAGCCAGCTAAAAATTAGGCGAGTTTGGTGGGAGGTGAGAAGTTGGGAAGTTGCATTGGATGTAGATAAGGCTAATAAGACTATTTTCCTTTTAATGTAGGTGGCTATTATCATGGAAAACTAATTTTTCCCAGAGAATTTCCATTTAAGCCTCCTAGTATTTACATGATAACCCCCAATGGAAGATTTAAATGCAACACAAGGTAAGCTTCCAGATGATGTAATGCTTTGAGCTATCTGTGGTCATGAGAAATGTGCATTCTTGCTCATAAAGTCACTTTCTTTCAGGCTGTGTCTCTCCATCACAGATTTCCACCCAGACACATGGAATCCAGCGTGGTCTGTCTCCACCATTCTAACAGGGCTCCTGAGCTTCATGGTGGAAAAGGGTCCCACCCTGGGCAGCATAGAGACATCGGACTTCACGGTGAGGTGTGGCAGCGCCTCGCCCGGGGCCTTGTGGCACCGTGGCCTCCAACCTTTCATCCTGGGCTGATTCTGTCCTGAGACATGAGACAGCTTTTCTGTTGAGCAGGTGGAGGCTGTGTGGGTCTCCCACCAACCAGTTCCCTGTTCCTGGCCGCATTATAGAATCTGTCTGCTTTGGCTGCCTCAGAATACTGCTCTTGACCTCACTGTACATCCTGTCTCCAACTCTGCTTTTGTCTTTGCTAAGCATCACTGACACTCCTGTACTCCTCAGGAGACTTTGTAAGGCTTGAGGAGGGGGCACACAACATCTGTTCCCTGCATGTTTTATTTCCTTAGTGTTTATGTAGGAATCATGTTTAATATTAATTGATAACAAAAACATAAGCCCTCATAAGACTAATTTGAGAAGAGGAAGCATTTTAGGTGCTTTCTATAATCATTGACTTTACAGGAGTCTGTTTTGAGATTTGAGATTTTGTTTTGCTATTAGGATTTCACGATTAGGGTGGTCTGGAATTCACTGTGTAGGGCAGGCTGGCATTGACTCTCTTATCTCAGCCCCCTGTATGCTGGGATTACAGGTGTGTACCACCATATCTACCTGTGTCTTTTTAGAATTAAAAAATAAAATAAAATTAGCTGGCCAGTGGTGGCACATGCCTTTAATCTCAACACTCAGGAGGCAGAGGCAGGGGGATCTCTGAATTTGAGGACAGCCTAGTCTACAGAGTGAGTTCCAGGGCAGCCAGGACTACATAGAGAAGCCCTGTCTCAAAAAAACAAAAACAAAAAACCAAAATTAGCTTTCTGACTGATATTTCCCTTCTCTTTCTTCCTAGAAAAGACAGCTGGCAGCACAGAGTTTAGTGTTTAATTTAAAAGATAAAGTCTTTTGTGAATTATTTCCTGAAGTTGTGGAGGTAAGAAAGCAAAAGTTGGAACTTAGTTTTGTCTTCCCTTATGTTAAAAACACTTTGAGATTTGATTATTTCCAAGGAGAAACTGTGTTTGTGTGCCTATCGTTATGTTCCTGAAGATGCTGTAGAGGGATTGCAGGCCCTCCTGGAAGACATAGAGGGCTCTGTACTGGGCATGTCTCTAGATGGACACACACTATTGGGTGACAGAGATGACTCTTCTCCAGGACTCTACAGTGCAAGACAGAGCCCAGGGCTGGGGGAGGCTCTGAGGAACATGTCCAAGTGTTAGGGACAGAGTCTGTCCTTGCAGAGGCATGAAGCTTGCCAATCAGTGGCCATCCCTCAAGGGTTCCACCAGCAGTGGCCAGGAGATACGTTAGTTGCCTCCTACAGCAAGGGCTGGGCATGTACTGTGCCACTAGCCACAAGTGTTCCCTGTTCTGAGCTGGAGTTGAGACCATGACAGTGGACAGAAGCACCAGGCTGGACAGTAGTGTAGTCCTTGACGGCTCGTTGATGCCGCTTGGCTCAGGCACAGAATAGTAATTTTGACATCTTGCTTGGTTTCTTCACCTGTCAAGTGGAATGAAGAGCTATCCTCTTGGGTTAGGGGATGCAGGGGAATGGAGAACTGTGTTCTGGATGGTAGCTCTGGGTGTTCTGTTCCCAAAGAAACAGGTTTGTTAAGACAACTGAGGGTTTTTGTGTTTTTCTCTCAGGAAATTAAACAGAAACAGAAAGCACAAGATGAACTAAGTAACAGGCCCCAGAATCTTCCCTTGCCAGACGTGGTTCCTGATGGGGAGATGCACCGTGGCCAGAACGGGATCCAGCTCCTCAATGGGCATGCACCTGCTGCCGGCCCAAACCTTGCTGGGCTCCCTCAGGCCAACAGGCATCATGGACTCCTGGGCGGCGCTCTGGCGAACTTGTTTGTTATAGTTGGGTTTGCAGCCTTTGCCTACACGGTCAAGTACGTGCTGAGAAGCATAGCACAGGAATGAGGCTCGAGGGCCACAACCTACAGTTGCTGCTGAGGGACGCAGGGGCCAGAGCTTGATGCAGGCACGATGGACATGCTGCTGAGCACGGGTGGCCTGCTGGACTCCTAGGCTTCACTTTTTAAAAACCTTAAAAAGAAAGCAAAAACCAAAATTGTGATTTGGAGGAGATTGGAGGTTCTTCCTCTTGAGGCTGACGTGGACAAGGTCACTCACGCTTTGGTTTTATTGCTTATCTCCTGTGTTGTCTCTCGGACCTGTTTAGTAAAGCTGTTTTTTTGTTTTTGTTGTTTTTCATTTTATTAGATTTGGTCACTTAAAAATATAAAACTTTAATGCCTATCAGATATTCTGTGTGTGTTCTTAGTGGAGGACCTGAAGTCCTCATGGTGGGGCCAGTGCTGCAAACCTCCAGTGGGCTGAGTGGGCTAGCTGCTAACACCTGTAAAGGGGGTGTCTAGAAGAGGACTGATTGGGCCTCATTGTAAAACTGTGCTTATGAATGAGAGAAAATACTTCTAGGAAGTGCTTATTCTAGTTTTTGTTTGTTTTTTTGTTAAGGTGGAAGAGTGAACTTGCTCTCTGGCCTCATAGTATTACACTTAGAACAGTGGGTGAAGACTTCAGTGAAGGCTTTGCCGGGGTGGGGGTTGGGGAGGGGGATATCCCTGGAATTGCTGTCAGCCTAATCCCTCTTCCCTTTTCCACCTCCTTTGAGTGATAGAGAAGCAGGATCCCTGGGTGCCTAGTGAATTCCTTATGTCTAGTTGGCCAGAAACCTGCATTCCTTCTGTGTTGGTGGACAGCAGAGACCTCAAGTCCCAGTGGACTGGGTCTTTGTATTTTGAGGCTTCTCCAAGGTCTTTTGTTTGTCTTAAGGTAGGCCTATACCATCCTTTCCGGGTGACCTGTGTGAGATGGTGATTGCTACAGATTATGGGAAGGGAAATTGCCCAGAACACACATGAGGTTTAATCATCTAATCTGGCAAGTTCTCAAGTTTTTCGGTGCTTTACTCCCTTACAGCCGTCACCATTTTAGTGTTTGCGTTTAAAGTAGCTGCAGTAGTTGTTTGGGAAAGCTGACATCTGTAAAGCACCAGGGGGAGGCAGTGATACCGTGTTGGCAAGAGGCTTCTAAACTAGCCTTGTTTCAGAGAGCAGTGTTAAGGCTGAAGGGCAGTGTGTGATCATCCTCAGTTTAGCTCTGTGATTTACAACTAGTATCAACCGTGTAGTCTTCTTCTGAAAAGTCTTTAATTATGAATACCTTTGTTCTTAAACACCATGCTGTCTGTGTTAATATCCTTCCCTGCTAGGCTGTGAGCAAGGGTCATGCCTAGGGGAGGGTATGCTGCCAAAAGGTGGCTTGACAACCCATGGCTGGGCCTGTGCCACTTTGGACCTAGAGGTGTCAGCCCTTCACACTCATGCCTTCTGGCACCAGACATTAGTTCTTCCCTGGTCCAGGAGTGGTCTGTTGCATTTAGGTAACTGTTTAGCCTTAGTTCCAAATTCTTGTTTCCTGAAGTTCTCTTAAGACAGAATGTTACCAGGTTTAGAGTGTTCTCTGTGAAATCTCAACTCTTTCATGCTGCCCCCTTTGGGGAGGTAGGGGGTTTCAAGACAGGCTTTCTCTGTATATCCCTGGCTGTCCTGGAACTCTTTGTAGACCAGGCTGTCCTCAACTCAGCCCCCTGCCTCTGCCTCCCAAGGGCCGGGATTCAAGGTGTATGTCACCACTTCCCACCGGAAATCTCAACTCTTTAAGAGCTCAGAAAGAAAGAAAATCTTACGAAGTGCTTGTTCTTAAGGTACAAGTAAAAAACCAGCCTGCTGTCTGACCACACGGTGTCGCACTTAGTTTAGCAGCTGAGATGGCTTGCCAGGTTAGCCCCAGTACTCCTCCCCTCTTCCAGCTCCTTTGAGTGCTTAGTACCCACAGTACTTGTATTAACCCCAAAGAAAAGGTAACTGTTTTTTGACTGGATCAAGCATGCTTGACTTTGTGTGTTGCCCTTCTTGGGAGAAGTCGCTGAGAGGGCAGTTGGGATGCTAGACTGCCCTTCATTAGAGCTTCCTTCCCAAAGCTCATATTCTGTTGTTTGTTCTTCAAGACAGGGTATCTGTGTGTAGCCTTGGCTGTTCTGGAACTCGATCTATAGACCAGGCTGGCCTCAAACTCAGAGATACATCTGCCTCTTCTCTGGAATGCTGGGATTAAAGACACCACCACCTCCTGGCTTTTATTGTTATTTAAAGAAAGGAACACCTTGGAAGGAAATTTCTCCATCTCTGCCACTTCTTGTTCCTCTCCTGAGACAAAACAGCTCCCAGGTAGCCTTTGCCTTTGGGATTTTTTTTTTAAAAACAGGGCCTCATGTAGCTCAGGCTAGCCTGAACTTACTATTTAGCTGGGGCTGGCCTTGAATTCTCCTCTGTCTGCCTCCTAGGTGCTGGGATTTTGGCCTTGTGAATTTCATTATAGAGTAAGTGAGAGGGAGGAGTCTCCTTGCATAGTAAGCCAGTAGGGTCCTGTGAAACTGTTTTCTCCAGGGCTTAGGGAATGGGAGCCAGATAGATGTTGGACCTGATTTTCCTGGGAGCTGCCTTGGTCAGCGTGGTCAGGGTTCTTGTGAACCAAAGTCGGATACCTTTGATTATTTTTCAGGTTGTTTGTGGCAGAGAGATGGTGAAGCTGGAAAACTGGTAACTTGAGTCTCTCCCTGTGACAGGCCAAGTCTAGCCTCCTAGCCTGCCTGCTTACGAAGTGCAAGACAGAGCTGGGAAAACCCATTACCAGACACCTAAGAAGGTTAGACCGCCAGGATAGAGGTAGACAGAGGAACACATGCTGCATCTGTGTAAAGGCGGGCTCTGGGTTGATGCAACCCTGCGTCTTGAACTTGGGGCATAGAGGTTGTCTTTTGACACACCATGTATATAATATACATATTGTATATTAGTTGAGTACAGGTCGCCATCAGGGGCCAAATGCTGGGACAGAGTGCTCTCACCAGTAAACAAGGACAAAGACATGAGCACTTGAGGCCTTGACAACTGTGTGAAACACTCCCAAGAGTCAGGTCTGCTGGAGAGGACAGTTTGCTTGGGTGGGAGCCAGGAACAAGAGGAATGGGCACTTCCCTTACATTTTCCCCCATTCCAGCTTTGTTAGGCTTCTCTGACTGGATGTGGCCTAAAGCTGGGATGGCTTGCTTGGCCACCTTTCACTCTTCTGGTGTGGGAGTTGAGGGGGCTCGATTCTAGAATATTCTCTTTTGTTTACCAAGGACCCATATCCACTGGATCCAGTGTGTGTCGGGGATGCAGCTCCTGAACATTTATAGAACAGTTGGAACCACTGGCTGGCTGTTCTTAGCCACAGCATTTACTAGTTGGAGATCATCTGGCTATTGGGAGCCCTGGCCTAGTCTCAGAAGGGCCACTACCTCATAGTCACTGAGCCCAGGGTATTCATTGGCTTGGCCTCAGCTAACCAACTTGCAGCCTGAAGGTGATTCAGGCCCTTTCTCTGGGGGAAAGGTCTTGCCACCGTATCCCGGGTACTGGAGGGGAAAGTTATATTGGTCAGCAAACTCCTCCTCGCTGTGTAGCTTGGGCCTGTTGTAAACTCATAGGAGGCAGGTCCAGGAGACTGACAGTAGAGGAGGGTAGAATGTAGGAGTTGGCCCTGTGCCTGTTGAAGAGTAGATAGACCGCCAGCCTCTCCATGCTCTCCTGTTTTCAAAGAGGTTAGCTTGGCAGACTTCATGTAAGCAGAGGAGGATCGCTGGTGTGTGTGGGGGAAGGGGGTTCCAGCAACCAAGTGATGAAGATGTTCTACTTTTCCAGTGCCCTGTGTTGGGGGCTGAGGTTGGGACCTGCTTCTGGGCCGGAATGAGGTGTGTGGGAAGGTCTGAGAGATTTGTACACAGCTTCCTAACGTGGAATGAATCACTTGGGATTCACTGCCCTGAAGGTGTAGGTATGAAAGATACCACAGAGAGTTGGTGTTAACAGCCTCCACCCCCTACCTCCAGCTTAACTAACAGGAATTCTGCTGAGAAGAGACTAGGGGCTGTTGGGGCAGGGAAGATGTCTCCCAGCTCCTCCCTACTCCTTAGAAAGCGAAATCCAAGGTCATAGGGGTCCCGCCCCACCCCGCCCCGCCCCGCCTTACCTTCCAGGAGATGGAAGGGCTCCTGGTGAGTCCTCCCCTTGGAGCCTGAGAGGCCTAGGAAGGAGGGAGGGCTCAATTAGTGGCGGGAGGAGGGGGTTGCCTGCAAGGGCACTGAGCAGGAGGGGAGGCCGGCGAAGACAGCAGCTCTTTGCTGCACTCTGGCTCGCCCTGTAGACTTGGCGCCAGCGGCGGCTGGGCTCATCCCTGGGCCTCGCCCCCGCGCAGGGGCTCTGAATGCCGCCGCCCCCATGAGAACACTGGCCGGAGGTCCTGTCCCTAAGCCTCTGCTTGCGGAGACTGAGCCATGTGGGTCTGGACCTGGGCTGCTGCAGCTCTTTTCTGGCTGCAGATTACTGGAGTCGGGGCACGGCAGGAACACAAGAAGCCTTGGCAGCCGGCTGCGCGTGTGGAGCCCTCCAATATTACAACCTCCAACCACGAGGGATTGCTGGGCTCCTTCAAGGTATGCGCCGGCCGGGGAGCGTGTGCGAGCGCAATGCGAGGCACAGCCTCCAAGCTCAGAGGGTCTTCCTGCCCCGACGGCTCTGTTCCCCTATTTCCCGGTCAAACTGCCTGAGACCTTAATTACTTTTTTTTTGTGGAGTTTGCTGCCGCCAGGACAGGGCCTGACCTGTTGGGGGAGTTTCCCTCTGCCATGCCTGCTGGGTCTGAGAAGAAGCAGTACTCCTGGTGGGGCAACAGCTAACCGTTTGAAGCCTCAGTGTGCTTTTCAGCAGTCTGATGCCACTGGGTATACTTGCTATTTTAGGTGGGGAAGGACTTTGGGCAGACTGGTGAATGACTGTGTCATTCTGTGTACGACAACTCCTGAAGCAGGCAATCATCTGACTAGCCTGACTCCTGTGCTTTCCAGGGGCCCTGTGGTAGTCTCATCTACTGTGGCATCTTGCATGTCGAGTACCCTGTTAAGAGTCCTCCAGAGACAGAAATCTCTCCCAGTCACTTGTCTTAAAGCCATTCTAGGGGTCCCCAGGACAGGAAGGGAAGCAACTGTTTTCCAAACAGGACCCCCCCCCCCCCCCCCCCCGGCTCTGAACCTTTGACCTTTGCATCTCTCCTTTGTAGCCTGTCACTGCATCGGCCAGCTTAGTTGCCTCTCAGCCCAAATCAATCCACCTCAAGCGATGTGAGGTCCCATTTTCCTGATAGATAGAATGAGTGGAGCCGAGGGAATGTAAGCTGTGGGCTGGTTCCTGGGCAGGCAGAAGGGAGAGCATGACCACTCATAGTGGGAGATCCTGCAAGTGTTGGATCCCGAGTAATCCTCCTGAGGTGCTAGGGAAGGTCAGTGGTGCCCACCCAGTTGAATGGTGTCCTGCCTAGGTTGTCTTTTCAGACAGTTTGGGAAGATGTTAGCAGGGGTAGGGCTTCTATGAACTTACTCTCCAGGTGTTCCTGCTCTTAATGCTGGGGTAGTCTTGCTCTACATCTCCCTGCAGCCTTTGTCCTTGGCTCAGCTGTGTCTGGTGCCCTCAGTGCTAAGGACTCAAACAGATAGATACTGGGTGGAGAATTTTGGTACATTCAGATGTACCAAAATTGTGTCTGTCTCTGGGTAGGACCCAGGCGGGAAGCAGTTTTGCCAGTCCTTCCTAGCTCAATGACCTGTCTGGAGGAGAGCATCCTTGTTTCCGATTAGGAGCTCCAGTATCCATTCAGGACTGACCTTGTGCTGGGACCCTTGGCTTACTATGGTCAGTGAAGGCAGGAGCAAGCATCTTGAAACAACCAGACGGTCATAGCTAGGCTAGTGGCTGCTATACTCCTATCCATTCCGCATACTGCCAACCTGATACCTCCCATCACCCCATCCTAATTGTCCCCAGAGACAGGCTTGGCCCTTACCAGGCATACTCTACCAGCCATATCCATGTATCTACAGCCAACTTTGGCTCATTTAAGGCTAAATCAGGTTTTCCCCATGAGTCCATTATACTTTCATGGGAGCAGGACCAGAGGAATAAGGTCATTTTCACAAAGGTCCAAGGTGCTTTAGTATCAGGTTCTTGCTTTCACGAGGCCCCAGACCTCACCTTGCCTGTTCCCTCCCCAATCCCCAGCACACACACCCATGGGGACATAATAGGTTCTGATCACCGGGGATTGTCCCTTTGGGCCATGAGCTATCCCTGTGACATTTTACTGTGTACCTGAATTTCCCACTAACCAGAAGTTCACATGTATCTATGGGGTATACTAGGACAGAGGCCAGGGGCCTGGTGGTCAGTATATTAGCCTTGCTTCTCTGGCTTTCCAGACAGCAGAGGCCTCTGGACCTGACCTCTCAGATGCCCACATGACATGGCTGAACTTTGTCCGCCGGCCAGATGATGGGCCCTCAAGAAAACGGTGTCGTGGCCGAGACAAGAATTCGGTGAGGCCCTGAGCTGTGTGGGACCAGCTCTTAGGGGTTGTTTTCAGCTTCTGAGCCTAGGGAAGAGGGTGACTGAAGCTCCTACTCAGATTCACTTTCTTTTACCTCTTCCAGCGAGGCCTCTCAGGTCTCCCAGGGCCCCCAGGCCCTCCTGGCCCTCCCGGCCCCCCTGGTTCCCCTGGTGTGGAAGTCACCCCAGAGGCCTTGTTGCAGGAATTTCAGGAGATGCTGAAAGGTAAGATTGTACCCTGCACCCAGCCTCTTTCAGAAGCCCAGAAAGCGTTCAGGGGCCTGACTCCAAGTGGCTTTCCCCACAGAGGCGACAGAACTTCGATTCTCTGGGCCACTGGACATATTGTCACCCCAGGAACGCAGCCATCGGCTGGTGGTTGAGGCCTTCCACTGCCGTTTGAAAGGCCCTGTGCTAGTGGACAAGAAGACACTGGTGGAACTGAAAGGATTCCAGGCCGTGAGTGAGGACACAAGCCAAAATAATCTATCCTTTGTGCTTATATACCAAGGGGACAGGATAAAGGGGTGGTCCTTATTGGCAAGACAGTTGCAAGACACATGCCTCCATTGGGCCCTAGAGATACTATTTGTAGAGGGTAAGGGCCAGCCTTTGTTAGGAGCTCTGGTGTGTCTCACCTTATACTAAAACAAAAATGGGGCCTAGAATTGCCATCCCCTATGGTAGCTTTTAGGGTCCTGTCCACCCACGGGAACCTGGCATCTTTGCCCTAGGTCGCCCTTGGATGCAGGCACATAGGTAAGCCCTGTCCTTTCCACAAAAAAAAAAAAAAAAATGAGGCTCATGAAAAACCTGTTTGGGGTTGGTCTATGGATACCTCTCTTGGCTAGAGTGTATGTGGTGAGGGTCCAGGCCCGAATCCAGCCAGTCACCTCCTAATCTTCACAGCCTACTACCCAGGGTGCCTTCCTGCGGGGGTCTGGCCTGAGCCTGGCCTTGGGCCGATTCACAGCCCCAGTCTCTGCCATCTTCCAGTTTTCTGCCAGCCTGCACGTGGGTGAGCCAGCATGTATGTGCCATATGGGTGGTGGGTAGGTTATCCCTTGAGGTTGTACCTCAGAGATGCCATCTACTTTGCTTGGGGCTAACTACCCTCAGCCCTGGCAGACACTTGAGCCTGTTCTGGGCAGTGTCCTAAAGCCCCCGTACCTGCTGCTTTCTCCACAGACCATAGTGAACTGCAGGGCAGAGGCCGGTTGCGTACCCGGGACACAGTCCGTGTCCTCATCTGTATTGAGTCCCTGTGTCATCGCCACACGTGAGTGAGTCCTGCTGCCTGCCACAGTCCTCTGGGGTTTGTCCTTGGACTGAGATCATAAGTAGCCACCTGAGGGGTGTCTGGGCACCATGGGCCAGGCGGCCTCAACACTGTCGTCCTGTGGTGCTGTGCCCAGGTCCCTGGAGGCTGTCTCAGGCCTGGAGAGCAACAGCAGGGTCTTCACAGTGCAGGTTCAGGGGCTGCTGCAGCTACAGGTAAGGGTATTACAGGCTCAGGCAACAGGTGGGTGGGTTTCTCTAGTGTGGGAGGGCCTCACGGCCTAGTGTAAATAGTTGCTCAGGACCTCTGAACCCTTGTACCTAGGAGGGTGCTGCCTGATCAGGATGTTTTTAGATCTGTGTGGACAGTGTATCAACTGTTGGGGCGTACTGGCTGCAAATGCTATCCCTGTGGGTGGGTAGGCTTCTACATTGGGGCCACCCACTAATGATAATGCTCACTGTGTGATGCCTTTAGTCTGGACAGTATGTCTCCGTGTTTGTGGACAACAGTTCTGGGACAGTCCTCACCATCCAGACCAGCTCCAGCTTCTCTGGACTGCTTTTGGGTACGTAGAGGAGCTGAAGAAATGATTGAGGAACCAACACCATGCTTCTTAGAGGAGCTGGGAAGGACTGTTCTCCAGTTAATAGTTTTCATGGCAATAAAGAGCTCTAGACTTCTCCATCTCTCTTGAGTGCTATGTGGTTATTGTGTTGGTAGAAGTGGCAACTGAGTGGCCAAGATTTGAACAAAGATGCACAGCAAGCAGAAGACTGTCCACATGATCCCAGAGCAGAATGAAGTCCTCTCACAAGGTCTCCAGATAGACTTCCAGCCAGTAAGGGAAGGAGCAGGGAACCAGGAAAATGGTTTCTCTACCTGCTGGGGACTGAGTCAACCCTGAGGCAGAGGCAGGCAGATCTCTGAGTTTGAGGCCAGCTTGGTCTCTACAGTGAGTTCCAGGACAGCCAACAGAAACCCTGTCTCGAAAAACAAAACAAAAATCCAAAGTCTCTTTTAAAGTTCAAAAGTTCTCTAAAATAGCCAAGACCTCATACCTGTGGGTTTCTGTAAAATCAAAAAACAAGTTAAATAATTATTATTTCAAGAGAAAAGAACCAGGGTACAGTCACAATCAAAGCAAAACCAAAGTCCAAGAGTATAAAAAGTTGAGTGCTTTGTGTCTGGGGTCAGTTCCACTTCTGTGGTTTTGCCATCACAGCACATGCAGGATGGCTTCCACACGTCTTGCTGTCCTTGGTGATTATCCTATGGTACAGGCATCTCCAAAATGCTGGGCTCTCTTTGGTCCTCAACTTCTCTCCACAGCCCTATTAGTTGTGCAGCTTTTACCACAGCTGAGTCTGTACCATCATCAATGGCCTCTACTGGTCTCAGAGTGTCAGATCTTGTTGCTTTCCGTGACCCTTCATGCCTTCAAAATCAGTATCACCTGGGGAAACCTCCTACATATTACCAAGTTCAGCTGCTAGTATAAGGTTCAGCCTTGGCTATTTTCTAAATAATAGATTCTAGGTGCTGACCCTGAGAAAATGCTTTCCAGAAGATTTTCCCTCAATAATGGTTGTCTCTTTCTCCCCTTTCTTTTTTTTCTTCCTTTTTTGTATGTATGTATGTATGTATGTATGTATGTATGTATGTATGTATGTGTTTGTTTGTTTGTTTGTTTGTTTGTTTTAATCACCTTACAGCCTGATCCCAGCCCCTTCGCTTTCTTCTCCCCTCTTCTCCCAGTCTTGCCCTCCTGCCACTCTCCCTTCTTCTCAGAGAAGGGGCCACTAAGGGATACTAACCCACCCTGGCCCTTCTTGTCACAGCAAGACTAAACACATCCTCTCCCACTGACCCACATGCTGACCATGCTGCACATCTGTTACACATGTGTAGGGGTCTAGATCTGGCCCATGCAAGCTCTTTGGTTGGTTCAGTCTTTCTGAGACCCAGTGACGTTGGTCTCATCATCACCATGAGTCTTCATCTGACTCTTCATCCCCAGCCAAGATTTCAATTTAGTGGTTCTACTCTCTTGTCAATAACAGCCAATTCTTCAGCCCTAGCTGACCAGAACCACAGATTCTTAATTCAAAATAACAAATAGCCCTGATAATAGGATTTAAGGGACACTCAAACATCCCCCTGAAACTTCACAAACAAGGCCTTCATCTTCTCTTCTGCTCTGCATTATTTTGTAAGTTATGATAGCTCATTAAGTTCCGAGCACTCAATGGCTTTTCTAGCCCCACGCTCCAAAATCCTTTCACAATCCTCCCCAAAGCACATGGTCAGGTCTGTCACAGTAATATTCTACTCCTGGTACCAATTTCTGTCTCGGGGCTTCTATTGCTATCATAAAACATAATCAAAAACTTGGGGAGGAAATGGTTTATTTCAGCTTACAATTCTCAGATCACATTCCATCACCAAAGGGAAGTTGGGGCAGGAACTCAAGGCAGAAACGTGGAGGCAGAAAGTGAAGCAGAGGCCACAGAGAAATGCTCCTTGTGGCTTGCCCAGCCTGCATCTCTCTCTCTCTCTCTCCCCCTCTTCCTCTCCCCACCCCTCTTTTCTTTTTTCCTTTGGGCAGGATCTTTCTATAGTCCTGACTGACCTGTCCTAGAACTCTTTGTGCAGCCCAAGCTGGCCTTGAACTCAGAGAGATCTGACCCCTGAGTGTTGGAATTAAAAGATGTATGCCACTATGCCCAGCTCAGCCCACTTTTTTGGGGGAGGGGTCGGGGTCGCAGGTTTCAAGACTGGGTTTCTCTGTGTCCTGGACCAACTTTATAGACCAGGTTGGCCTCAAACTCACAGTGATCTGCCTGCCTCTGCCTCCCAGAGTGCTGGGATCATAGGCATGCGCCATCTCGTCTGGCTGTCAATCCACTCTTATGCAGCCCAGAACCACTTTCCCAGGGATGACACTGCCCACAGTGAGCTGGGCCATCTCACATCAATCATTAATCAGGAGAATATGCCACAGATTACAGGCCTTTTTGTTTGGTTGGTTTGGTTTTGTGTTGGGTTGTTTGAAACAGTATCTCACTCTGTAGCTCTTGAGTGTCATGGGACTCATTGTGTAGACCAGACAAGGTCTCAGACTCAGAGATCCACCTGCCTCTGCCTCCCAAGTGTTGAGATTAAAGGCGTGTGCCACCACACATGGCCGGGCCAGTCTTCTGGAGGCATTTTCTCAGTTGAGGTTCTCACCTTCCAGATAACTCTAGCTTGTGTCAAGTTGACAAAACAAACAAACAAAACTGGTCAGCACAGGGCCCCTGTGAGGCCTGTCCCCTGTGAGTAGGGGTCCCAGAAGGGGGCTCAAGTGTATATGAGCAATAAACAAGACTGCCCACTTCTTAGGCAGCTGTGCCAAGCTGAAGAACACCTTCAGGCCAAGGTGTGGCGAGATAAGATTTAGGCTAGGGAAGCCTGCCCAGGCTGAGGCAGGAGTTCCCCTTCTTGCTACCTTCCTCAGTAATGGCCACCACTCCCCAAAGATCAGAGGATGGGTGGAGTAGCCCTATTGGCCCATCCGCTGCAGTCCTCAAGGTAGGAGCAGTGGCTAATGTGAGACCCCTCTAACCCTACACTATTTGGCAAACTTGAATCAAAGAATGTAAATTAGCGTAAGGATGTCCCAGCCGTCTGAGCTAAGATTCCATCTCTAGATGGTACCTGGGCCATCAAAAGGTGTTGGTAAGCTTTCTCAACACCTCTGACTTCTTTCACCACAACAGGCCTTTAGAATTCTGTTTTCAAGATTGAGCAGGGGTCTCCCTTGCCCTGGAATGATCTCCCAAAGGGAAATATACAGCAGAGAGGTGAGGAGTCTGCTCATAGGCCTGTGGGCAGTGTGTAAGCTGAGGCAGTAGAAACTGGAAGAGGCCAAAGTATGTGGGCTGTTACCTCACCCAAAACCTTGACCCTCCTTGAGGTGCCATAGGAGGGCTCCTCGCTAGGGTCTTGCTGGGCAATGAGGCAGGTCAACCAAGCTAGTCGCTGAGCTAGTGTGAGTGGCGCCAGTCTGTGTAGTAGTAAGCTTGGCCGCTGACCCATCTCCACCTTTCTTCTGGACACCCCCGCAGCCCCCACTGTGGCGTCAGGGGCTGGGGCTGTCTGGAGAGGTCTGCATTTCACTTGGCTGCAGCTTTAATGTCAGCTACTTTAAATGGGGGATGGTGAAAAGCCTACTAGGGTCCATATGGAGCATACCATGGTCCCTACTGAGTAAATAAAAGGGAGCCCAAAGAAGGAGTAACTGGCTTCCCACTTGCCAATTACTGAGGTCTTGACAGAGAGTCCAGGCCAGATTTTAAAATCCACACTTAGGGACCCCGCCTCCCTTTCTGCCCCCACACCCTTGTTGGGCAGCCTACCTACTGGACTGGGTCTGCAGCTCTCAGGTCCTTCTAGCACTCCGGCCCCTTGGCTGTGGCATCAATGGACTCTTACCCCAGGGGGACCAGGGCCTCCACCCGCTATAGCAGGGAAAGTAGTTTACATATGGGGTAACTTTTCAGGACCTATCAGTGGAGATATTAAGGCCAAGCTTCCATGAGAAGGCAGAGCAGGGTCTAGGAAGGGGGTGGCACGGAAGTATGTCTTGAATGTCTACACCTGCAGATCCATAAACAACCCTCACTAGGATTTTCGGGGCTCTCTCTGCACGGCCCCGTGATTCCTCTGCTCTACTAGTGACAGCATTACCCTGTGCAGATTGGGCTGAGGCTAGAAGCCAGCCACCCAGTATGGTGGGCAGTACCACCAGACTCCCGAGCCACATATAGGGCCTCCTTGCCCATGGTAAGGGTCTCTCAGCTTTGTTCTTTGGTCTCAGTCTTATTGGCTGCTGTAGGGGCTATAATCCCCAAGATTGGAGACTCAGAGAATGGGACTTAGGGCCCCACAAAGTGACAGATGGAGATGAGGAGATGAGAGATGAGGAGACACCATGGTCAGGGGCAGAGCAATGCCTGGGCAGATAGCCAAGATCAGGGTGGGCCTTGTCTGGGTGCCTGACTCTACCTGCATCTGTCTGTCTGCTCTTCCTCCCCGTCCTGCCCCTAATCGGAGGTCATTAGCCACTTAGATGTAATTTCCTTGGAATGTGCTGTCTCCAGATGAGCCCTAGTGGCTAGGGGCCCAGGAGCAAGGGAGTGGGCGTCTAGGGTGGAGTGGAAGGTTCCAACTGAGGGTCCAGGTCACAGATACAGAAAAACCCATGCAACCTGCCCAAAAGAAAAGCAGCCAGGCTTTTCGCTTGTTCTCAGCTGTACCATGTGGTTTTCTCAAGTCTCACATGGTCATAGGCTCTGATGCCCCATATGTTCATGAAGGACACCTGGCATGGCTAACCTAGCCTAAGCATGGCATGCTACGGAAGGCAGACAGGCTGGACTTGCTAGTATTCAGGTGGCAGCTAGCTTGAGGATCCCAAGAGTGGGGAGACCTCAGGGGAAGGCAAGTTTCTTCTACACCATCCCATTTTGAAGCTGGTTTATGAAGTGGTCTAGATACTTGCTGTTCTTGGCTGGAGACAGAGAAAGCACTGGCAGTGCTGGACAGCCTTGGTTTGGCTCCTGATCCCAAGCCCTTGTTTTATGGCAGCTGAAGGTGCTGGCTGGCCTT